TTTATTGATCAAATTCGAATTTGAAGGTTGCAGAACACTAAAAAGCCCCAATTTCAGGTTTCTGGAGAAGTTGGGGTAGGTTGGGAGGGAGGAGGAGAGAGAAAGAGAGTTGGGTTTGGGGGTGGGCGACGGGAGAGGGGTGGCTGAGAGGTGGGGTTGAGTCAGGTGGGAGAGAGGGTTGGTTGGGTAGGAGAAGAGAGGAGATTTTTTTTATTTTCATTTTTTAATAATTTTAATATGATTTTAAAATTATTTTTAACATGTACATAATTTTTTATTATTTATTTGTCCACCTATAAGTCCACATCAGTTAAAAAATGAGTCCCACAAATGCCACGTAGGCAGATAACAGATTTTCTGACGATCTCACTAACGGAGAGGGCCATTTGTAGGTTTTCCGTGACGTTGAGTATGTACTCGTAAATGTTCCCAAAATCGGGTATGAACTCGTAAGTGACCCTATAGGTTGACGGGTTTACTGTACTTTTTCCTTTAATATATTCAGTTTTACACAAGTTCAGATCGATTTCAATAAAACAAGAGCATATGCAGAGTATGATCCTTCTTCTCAAATTATCTAGAATATGATCCGATTACCTTGAAAGCAACTGAGAAATCCGTGACCAATACTCATCACCATCAGCATCAATGTTATTAGATGATTATGAATACCTTGACCGAGCAGATTTACCTTAAGAACAGGAAACATATTAGGACAGGCAATAAATGTACACATGCAGTATTAAGTTGATGAAAGTGAAAATAGCACAAACTAGGACAGTCAATTTGTTTGATGTATGCCTGCTTCATACAGCTGACATCTCTCTGACACCACTTGGAATCTTGGACCACTAAAAGACAAACACTTGGAAACCATCTTGAAAAACCACTTTATTTTGTTGAAAAGACAAACACACGTGTAGTAATAAGCATTCATTTCCAATTGAGTGTAAGCTAGTCCCACAGAGAATAATAGGCATACAACTCATTTCTGTAAAAGATACACGTGTGTTGCTTAAAAGGAGTTTAATATATTATTTGTTAGAGAATTTACAACATTTTCATTTTCCTTCGTTGCTTAAAAGGAAAATGTGTTGATTCCTAATTATAATATACAACTTATTATATACTGATTACTGAAATTATTGAAATTATCTTCGACATTTTTTGACTTGTTCTTAGGCTCTCACGAGTATTATATGAAATATGCAATAGATTAATTTACAAAGGGGATTTTAACATTATTCGAATGATGATCAAGATCTATATATATTTATATATATATTTTTTCATTTATAGGCATACATATTACATATATGTATATGTGGATTCGTTTCTAATTTGAGATTCATAAGTACCCAATAAGAAAACGGAATACGCCAAGCAGAGCAGAATCTTCCACATATTGGCCAATTTGCGTTACAAAATAAGGGTAATGCTAGGCTTACCACATTTTTCATACCACATTCATACCACCTCTCTAATAGATGTGGAGCCCACCAATACAATGGGGCCCACCTCTATTAGAGAGGTGGTATGAAAAATGTGATAAGCCTAGCATTTTCCCACAAAATAAATACAAATAGTATGATGAAGTAGTTTATACATACTATCTGTTGCTTGAACAACGCATGGGTTCTTTCTTTTCAAGTAAAGCCTGTAACAACAACAAAAGTAGCATGATGTGATTGAAGAGAACGACAATCAAGCCAAGAATCCCACTATCTCAAGTCAACCTCCCATCACAACGTGATTGGTATAATTTATGTACAAATCCCTGTAATCATGTATTTTCCTCTTTTGTTATAGTTGACCACCGCCAGAATCCTGTATATATGGTGTATCTCAACATGAATCAAATCATCGAGTGATTCAACCCAAACTTCTCTCTTGTCTATTTTTCTACAATAAATGTTAGAAGTTAGATTGGAATTAATAACACTCTCAAATTCCAACAAAAAATTCATAACAAATCAAATCAGTTTGGATTTCCCATATTCATCAGATCTGAAAAAGTTCAGGCAACAATAGTATGAAGTTAGATTGGGTTGAACTAGATTTAGCATAGTCCTCCTCGTTTTTGGAAGCAGTTGCCTCAGTGATCACTCCCTGCAAGTTGTGCATGACACTTCTAGTATTTGAGAATTAGCAGGATATTGGCGCAAAAGAAGAGGTCATGTCTGGATTTGTCGGGTTGGTAGTGCAATCCATAATTGGAGGATGCACACGTGTGACAGCTAACACACACGTGGGAAGATCTTAATCATGGCCGACCAAAACTCTAATGTTTCTGGACAGAGAACTCCAACTACTCCTATTTTATTTTATGTTTCTGGACAAAACAAACAACTCGTAATGACATTAGAAAGTGAACAATACTCATTAATAAAGGACTACAACTTGTCACTGTCGCCAATTAGCTAATTGTTTACCTTAAAACAAGTAAAAAACTCTGGCCGCCCTCTAGACAAAGACATCTTTGTTTCATTTGCTTGACTAAAAATAATTGCTTTTTAAGTCAATGGATGCGCTATCCTTTCATTTGGTCATTCATGAGCTGCTTGTTTACCCAATTCAGGAACGAGGTAGCAACCCCAAAACCTTATAATTTATTTCCGTTCAGACAGTTTGTTTCTTCACCACACCTCATCCATGGCACTTGTGAGAGCAACTCAACAAACCTCCTCTTCTAATACTTCTCGATCTTGTCGTTATCACGTGTTCCTCAGTTTCAGAGGTGAAGACACTCGCAAGACTTTCACTGACCACCTCTTCACAGCCTTGGTCAATGCCGGATTTCGCACTTTCCGAGACGACGATGAGCTGGAGAGAGGAGAAGATATTAAGCCCGAACTCCAGAAAGCAATCAAACACTCAAGAACTTCTGTTATTGTGTTTTCGAAAGACTACGCGTCGTCCAGATGGTGCCTTGACGAGCTTGTGATGATCCTTGAACGCAAGAGGACCTCACCTGACTATGTCGTTTTACCTGTCTTCTACGACGTGAATCCATCCCATGTGCGGAAGCAGACAGGAAGTCTTGCAAGGGCATTTGCTAGACACCAAAAATCTCAACCCCCGAAGAAGGTGAAGGCATGGAAGGACGCACTTGCAGAGGTTGCAGATCTGGCAGGGATGGTCTTACAAAATCAAGCTGATGGGTAATCTCTTTCCTACCACTTCTTTTATTTACAGATCTGGCAGGGAGATTTAATATGATTTACAAAATCAGTCGAGAGGATATATTTTGTTTTGCACACTCACTCCTAAAACTAAATATAATTCCTTCGGACGGGTTATTAATGGAGATTTAATATGATTTTTCTCTATCAGGGTGTGATAACTAAAATTAGAAAAATGGAAGCTCAAATTTGAACATAGGTACAAATTGATTATAAAAAAAAGGTGTACATTCGTGGATTTTAGTTACGAAGCGTACTACAAAATATGCATGAAGCATCAAGCTCATTTTAAAAACTCCCAAATTTTCAATATCAAATCCGAAGAAAGTTTTGATGCCTAATCCATGAAAATCAAAATGGAACACAAATTTACAATTCCATAAGAATGTTTTTCAGAAACCCCAAGCTCATTTTAAGCAAATCAAGCAAATCTGAAAGTTGGGTTTTTCAAATGAGAACATGTGCAAAAATTGATGGAAAAAATCAACTTAGTTTACGGATTGTACTATTGCAAGGATTTTTGAATTCTTTTTTCATTTGGATTGCAACTTTTCAGACACGAGTCAAAGTTTATCAACAAGATTGTTCAAGTGATAGGAGAAAAACTAAGGCGTAAACCCCTAAGTGTTCCCCACATTATGATCGGAATGCATTCTCGAGTCAACAAACTTAATTTATGGTTACAAGATGGATCAGATGATGTCGGCATACTTGTAATTTATGGCATGAGTGGAATAGGGAAGACAACCATTGCAAAGTCTGTTTATAATACAAACTTTAGAAGATTTGATGCAAGCAGCTTCCTTGAAAACATTAGAGAAATTTCACAACTGCCCAATGGCCTAGTTCAAATACAAATGCAACTTCTTTCGGATATTTTGTATGGGAGAAAAGTAAAAATACACAGTGTTAGCAAGGGAATGACTGAGATAAAAGATGCGATAAGCTCTAAAAGGGTTTTTCTTGTTCTCGACGATGTGGATCATATTAGCCAATTAGATGCGCTGCTTGGGATGAAAGATCAGTTTTGTCAAGGAAGTAAAATCATCATAACAACTAGACGTGCAAGATTGTTAAAGGCTCATCAAAGTACTAAGATGCATGCAGTTCAAACTTTGGATAGCAAAGAATCATTGGAGCTGTTAAGGGCTCATCAAGTTACTAAGGTGCATGAAGTTGAAACTTTGAATTCCAAGGAATCATTGGAGCTTTTTAGTTGGCACGCTTTTGGTCAGGACCATCCCATTGAAGGTTACATAGAATATTCGCAAAAAATAGTGGATCATTGCGGAGGACTTCCATTAGCTCTTAAAGTTTTAGGTTCTTCTATGTACTTGGGGGATAGTATAGATGTATGGAAAAGTGCACTGGAGAAGTTAGAAGCCATTCCAAATGGTGAAATAGTAAATAAACTAAGAGTAAGCTATGACTCTTTGCAAGATGACCATGACCGAAATTTATTCCTCCACATTGCTTGTTTCTTTATCGGAAAGGACAAAGACTACATTGTTAACATACTAGATGGATGTGATTTCTATACAATTGTTGGCATTCAAAATCTCATCGATAGATGTTTGGTGAGTATTGTTGGTAAGGAGGTGCAGATGCATGACATGATCTGTCGAATGGGAAGAGAAATTGTTCGCCTAGAATCAGAGAAGCCTTGGAAGCGTAGTAGAGTGTGGCAACATAAGGATGCTTTCAATATCTTGACAAAAAAGAATGTAAGAAAAATGTCGTATATGCACACATATATGTTTTTCATATGTAAATATTTTTCAAATGTTTTCCCCTTTCTTCTGTAGGGTACATATTCAATTGAAGGCCTTGTCCTCGACATGCACATGCTCCCTAGAAACAGTCACATAAACTCAACGGAGATAGTCTTGGAAACCAATGCATTTGCAAGGATGCGTGAACTAAAACTACTCCATCTTAATCATGTACAACTCGATGGATCTTATGCAGAATTTTGTACAAGATTAAGATGGTTGTGTTGGAATAAGTTTCCTTTGGATTCTATACCCACAGATTTTCCTTTGGGGAGCCTGGTTGTTCTTGAAATGCAATATAGCCGCTTGAGTCAAGTCTTCAAAGGAACAAAAGTATGTTACTCTACGCTTTTCAATTTTCCCTTTCATTTGGCTTTTAGTTTCGTAAAAATATATATATATCTATAACAAGTAACTCCCCACAAATTCATTTTTTTTCCCCCACAGCGTCTTTCATCATTGAAGATCCTTGATCTCAGCCATTCTCATTCACTTACAGAAATCACCGACTTCTCATTTTGCCCAAATCTAGAGAAATTGATTCTTGTAGATTGTGAAAGACTGGTTGATGTCAATGAATCCATTGGGAACCTTGAGAGACTTGTTTACTTGAGTATGAAGGATTGCAAAAATATTAGGATGCTTCCAGAGAACATGATTATGCTAAAATCACTTGAAACACTTATTATATCTGGTTGCACAAATCTTAATAGGTTATCAATTGAGATATTAAGGAACATGGAATCTCTGAAAGTGCTTAAGATAGATGAAATCCAGATAACTCAAGTATGGCGAGGAAGAAGTTTAGGTATCTGGAGTTCTTTACCATGCTCTTTAGTAAATTTAAGTGTTTGGGGGTGCAATCTTTCGGATGATAACTTTCCTAGGGATTTTAGTAATCTATCTTCACTGCGAAGACTAAACGTAGGGAATAATCCAATTTGTAGCCTGCCAAATTGCATCCAAGGTTTAACAAGGCTCGATAAACTCTCTTTTGAGAAGTGTACAAGGCTCAAATCGCTTGTGGGTTTACCAAAACATGGTCACTTGCGTATCGTAGATTGCATATCATTGGAAAAAATAACGTATCAATCCTCTTCATACTTCACACTTTCTTTATCAGAAGGTGGCAACTACAACCTAGTTGAGTGGGAGTACAGGTTCAAACCCATTCGTAGAGTTGATGCAGAAATGATCAACCTCTTGGGATTGTGCAACTTGTTGGAATCAATGGCACCCATTTGGATGCGCGAACCATCTTCTCTTTCAATGGTTTATTTGAATCCTACCGTACGTCCCGTCCGGGTACTCTCTCTCTCTCTCTCTCTCTCTCTAATGATCACAGGAAATGGTTGACTAATATTGTCATTTCCATTGCATATATATAGGTATGGTATCAGGATGGTATATTCAGCACATTTTTTGGTGGGAATGAGGTTCCAGGCCAATTCAGCCATAAAAGTAGAGGGTCCTCAATATCTTTTACTGTGCCTTTGCTTGATAATCACAGAATTAATGGCTTGAACGTCTGTGCTGTCTATGCGAGTTCTAGCTCTCAATTTCTTTACAATTATTGGGATGGTATTGAAGGTATTGCTGGGCATATGATTACTAGAGTCAGAAATAAGAGCAAGGGTCTGAAGTGGTACTCTTTACCAGAACACTTTGGTGTTCCAGATGGACAACACATTACATGGTTAAGCCACTGGAAGTTTAAGGATGAGCACTTAGAAGGTGGCGATCAAGTGGTGGTTTCAGTACGTATGGCACATTGCTTTCAGGTAAAGGAGTTGGGGATCCAGTTTGTGCACGTGGAACAAGAGAGTCATAATCTGATGACATTGATGAGTACCATTTATCCTAATGATCCATGTGAGATTCCCAGCGCAGAATACTTGTTCAATGATGAAGATATAGGAGGTGTGTTGTTTATTGACGCATTTGATGATTTTACTCCAATTATTTCCAAAACAAACTAAATTATAAGAATAAAAATTAAAAGACCCCTAATAAATTATTGACGCATTTGATGATCCATATTTCATTTGAAAAATAATTTAAATTGGGATTTTATGTTATTTTTGTATGTTTTTCAGACAATGAAGAAGAGCAACAGGATGATCGCTCAATTGCAGCCCCCACAGGCAGTAATAACTGCAGCAGCTGCCTCCATGGCTGGAAAGTGCTCATCACCGCAGCTTGCAACCTCACGCTCTCTCTCTCACGCAGACAGAAGCAACAGTCAGAAAGCCGTGGCTGAATTATTTGTACATCTCAACTCAACAGCTGGTTATTTGTACATCCAATGTCTTCCCAAGACCTATTCGTTTCATAGCATCAAATACATCTTCTATTGAACCAATAATTGGCAACTGTCCAATTCAGATCTTCACTGTGATTTACAACAAAGCTATGCGTTCAGAAGACGAGGCTAACATTGCAAAAATTGGTATGGAATGGATTACAGA